AATTTTTTCTTCAGTTCCCCCAGCTTGAGGAATGCTGACCGTGTTCTTCCCTTTTGGTTTTCTAACTCTAAATCTTTGCATATTTTATTATAGTATTTGACTTTATCTTCTTGAGCTGATCTTTGAAATTTTCTGTTCAGCTCTTGGACCTCTTCAATTTTTATTGATTGAGGAAAACAATCAATAGCCTATAGTAGTTATAAGAGAAAGTCTTTAAAAAGTATTACTAATTATGTGCCTATATGGAGTCCTGGTGTGGTGCTTTAGGGTAAGAACTAGACTGTGAAGTTGGCTGTTCAGACCCACCAGATGCTCCTCGAAAACACTACACAGGGTCACTATGAGTCGGAACCAACTCAGTGGCACCTACAACAACCACAAATATGCTTGCATATACTAAATGGGACTTTGTTGCAAGCAGCAGAGATGTACTTTGGCTAATAAGGACTCTGGCTGGGTTCAGAAGTAGGTGTCCAGCAGGGCAAGTCAGGTGCAAGAGCCTAATAACTACCTTGTGGGTTCCACTGCTGACACTGCTGCCTGCATTGCTACAGCCTTGCTCCAAAGTGTTCTCACCTGCCTCTGAATCTCTGCATGAGGGCGGCAGATTGAAAGTCTGGTCAGGGTAGTAGCCTAACTTTCAGCCCTGCTGACAAAGAGCAGGAGAGGAACACCTATTTTGCTTTCTCCTTGGTATAAGGTAAAACAATGAAGGATGCCCTCCAATGGGGAGGGAACTTGGGTGCTGGGGATCCCTTCAAAAGCAAAATACCTACTGTATTATGAAGATATGTGTTAGTGTATGTGTGTGTGTTGGAAAACCTCACTGTTTTTAAAAAAGCACATATTTTATATTATTTTTCTTTCAGATGGCAGTAAGATTCCAGCTACAACCTTGATGGGAATTTTGCTAATGCATGATTTTAAACTTGCCATCAATAAAGTAACATACAATGTAAAGTGCCCCAAGCAAGGTAAGAGTTTCTATCATCAAATGTTCTTAACCCTTAAATTTTATAAGGAGCATAGTTGATGAGAAGCGTTTTAATGAACCAAAAAGGCCTTGGCAACATCAGTGTTTCAGCTTTTCTAGTAAAAGTTGCCTAGTAGAAGTTTTAGTCTCATTTGTTCTTTTTAAAATTTAAAACTTTCACATTTGTACCTTGAATTGTTAATTTCCAGCACTATTAAGTTAAGAGAGAGTGGGCCTAAAAACGTTGTATTCACATATATGAGGGGGCTTCTAGAAGTTTGTGGAAAAATAGAATGAAAAGATCATTGAATTTTTCCATGAACTTTTTGAAGCCCCTTTGTATATTGCTGTATAAGTTCTTCTTTTTTCAAAGAGCTTTTATTTTCAAGCCAGCCTGTAATTTTGACCATTAATAATATAATTTTGGAAAGTTCTCTGCTATCTTTACTTCAAATATCTTCTGTTCCTTTTTCTTATCTCCTGATTAATTTTATTATGAATATGTTATGCCTTTCTTGGGAGAGTCTGTCCTGTGTTTTTTGTTTGTTTTGTCTTTACTATTTTTATTTTCTTTACAGTTCAGTTTTGGACATTTTTAGTAACATATCATCAAGCTCATTGATTCTTTATTCAAACATATTCTGTGTATTGATGAGCCCATCAAAGCCATTCTTCATTTCTGTTACACTGGTTTTTTTTTTTAAGTTTTTATTGTGCATTGAGTGATAGTTTACATGGGAGAACATCACTTTTACATCCATTGTTTCATTGCAATGATTATAATGCCCTCTGGGCATCATCATTCAATAGTATTTGTTTTTATTCCCTTTGTTTTTTGTTTTTTTGGGGAGCGGGGATGTACACCAAAACTCTCAGGAATATATAATCATTTAAACAACCAAAGGGCACATTCTGAAAGTCTGCCTCCTGACTACCAGCACACAGCCTTTCTTGTTTCATGAGTCAGGAGTCCTCAGCTGCTCTATCTCTCCATGTCCTGATCTCTGCCTCCATCTCTGGTGTCACTGCTTCTCTGTATAGGGTTCCACATGCCGCGCTCATGCACTTTTCCCTTAATGGCCCTAGGGGGTCCTCTCTATCTGGAATGTAAGATTAACTACTCCCTCCCTTTATGTTACAAAACTTCTACCTTTATTACTACACTGTTTTTTATTTCTAACATTCCTTTTTTATATTTTTTATATTAGTTGTCTGTCCTTTCATGTTCAGTTTTTCTATGAGATACATTAGCACATTAATCATAGTTATTTAAAATTTTTGATCTGATGATTGCAAAATCTCTGCCATGTTGAGGCTAGTTTGCTTTTTTGTTTTTTTGTTGTTTTTTTTTCTTTGGGCTGTGGGGTTATTTGCCTTTTAGCATGCCTTGTAATTTTTTGTTGAAAGTTGGACAGAATGTATTGGGAAGTAGGAATTGAGGTAACTAAAATTTAAAGTGAGGTTTTATATATGTGGCTAGGAGTTATGATAGTACGTTCGTTAAATGTTTGCCATGTCAGAACTTCACTTTCCTTGATTGCCCTTTTATTTATTTATTAAATTGTTCTACCTTGTTGTCTTTGCATTTCTCTAGTTGTAATCCACTGTTTACTAGAGTACTAGAGCCCCGTTGATGTGATAGTAAGATATTTGGGAGGAGAAGCCTTCTGTGATCTTATCATTAAATCTCTCTCTCTCTTTTTTTTTTTTTAAGTTGGGCCAGAGTCCTTAGACTGTAACCTTCTGAAGAATTTCTTAGCCTTTTTTTTCTCCTTCTCATGAAATAGGAAGACTAGAGGGGGCTGAAATTGGCTAATTGGTCCCCCATTACATCAAGCTCTGGTAAAGTTATTTTCCTTGAGTGTGGTCATTTGTAATGAAGAACAAAATGCTCAGTACATATTTATTAATAGTAATGAATTTTTTCCATGCTGCAAGCACAAGGGCACTTTTCTTTGATCTTCACTATTAAAACCTGGTAGGGCTCCAGTATGTTAAACTCCTGAGTGTGAGCCCTGAGTTTTTAACTCTCAAGCTAGTTCATACTAAGTCTCTAGCACTTGGTCTGAAGAGTTCCTACCCTTACTGACTCCACGGCTTCTGTCCCAGGTCAGCTGTAATTATAGACTGTTGAGGTTGGGAAGAAGGACTTCATAAGTTCACATCGTTCGAAATTGATGATAACAGAAATAAAGAAGTAAATAAGAGCTCTTGCTTGAGTAAGAGTGACAAGTGCTTATGATAAATTTAGGAAGATCCCTGTTGTTGGAAAACCATCATTCTTAGCCAAATTCTAGATCAAGCAAGAATCATGGATAGATGCTAATTATTAAAGGAGAGAGGTGGAAATTAAGATAAAGAAAGGTTGGATTAAAAAATACAAAAAAAAAAAAAAAAATGGTGGAGAAAATCACAACAGAGATCAGCTAGCTTGAAAAGGCTCCCAGTAGACATATCTAGGACAATTTGCGTACCAGGGCAATATTTAACCCCATGGACAGGACAGCAGAAACTGACATATGTGAAACTAATGCCTCTGCTAAGATATGAACTTGTATGTGCAATAAGTTCCTAGCATTCTGTAAGGTCTTCTACTTCCTGTCTTCTGTGGCATCATAGGAAAAGTACTTGACCTCAAGGTTAGTTTAAATTGTAAGGTTGGAGGTTCAAGCTTACCAGCTGCTTGTCAGAAACCCTATGCAGGGTCGCTATGACTCGATGGCACTTAACAACAACAACATCTAAGTTGAACATTTGTGCAAACAACTGAAGAAAGAAAACATTTTCAGAGCAAGTCATGTCGATTTGTATGACTTTCCTCTCTGCAGAACCCTAACATGGAACATAAACCTTAGGTCCAGGTAGATGTCCAAGAAAAAAATGGCATTGAACAGTATTAAAACAGGAAGGGATGATTTTATTTTTAAAATATTACAATAAAGAATTAAGATTGGGGAAGGAATGAACATTGCAATGGTAGTGAACCATCACCAGCCAGGACTGTCTTACGTTCCTATTTCATTGAAGCTGAGGGTGGGGAGGGTTTTAAATGCTGGCAAGTACTACTAGAAAAATATTGAACTCTAGAATAAAGAGCATTATTGGGGGAGAGAGACTAAGCACTGGGGTCTGCCAACCATATGAGGTATCTCCCCGTGGAGTTGACTGTTAAAGGTAAATAGAAAATGCTTCATCTGGCCAAGGAAGAGAAAGAGGTCAGGAACCTAGGTTAGGAAAAAGTGAAATCAAACTGAGGGGATGTTAATGCCACTTTGGTTAGTCTTTTTTCTGCACACAAAAGGGTGGCAGGATCTCCAGAATCCAGAATAAAATTCTGTATTCTACTTAGGCAAACACACAGCTTTCCAACTCCTCCTAGCTGTTAAAAGACTTCTCTCCTTGGAGAGCCTGTTTGCTGGGATTGAGCTCCAGGCCAGGGAAACCCTGGAGAAACACTGTCCTGAGAGTTAGGAAGTGCTTCACTGTGCACACAACAGAAACACAAATATATAGGCACAGTAGCATGGTTGAGAGCAAAGCCAGAGGGGAACCAAACTGGATTAAAAAATGAACTTTATAAAATTACAAATTTGGAGTTTATTTTAATTGCTTAATTTCTTTTCTAAAACAATGGTAAACTTGGATTTGAAAGTTTTAGGGTAGAAAAAAATATTCACATGGAAGACATCTATAAGGAATAAACAGTTTGTGAAGAAAAATAAGAGTAATTGCTTCCCACTCTTGGCCTTTTTTTAGGAATAGCTGGCCCAGACAGCTAATGCAGTGTATGAATTTCGTGGTGGCCACCTCATTATTAAGAGCATAGCTGTATTTTGAACTCATGTAACTGATAGCATTACTGACTCCATATAAACTTCTTATATCACTCCATAGCTTTGTACAAGTTTGTTCCTCATTTATGTCTGTCTCTGGATATAGAGCTTTTAAATACTAATACTTTTTTTTTTTTTTTCTTGAAGAGTCTGACTCTTCAAATATCTCACTTACCCTGTAAAATCCAAAAGGTTAGAAAGGAGTCCTAAGTTTTCACTTCTTTGTGGCAGTTTTAGTAGCATAGATTGTGGAAAAGTTAATAGCACATACAGTCATGAAAAAACTAGGTGGAGATGGATAAGAAAAATGTCAGGAATCCTAGCATGAACTGGAAAATCAGTAAGTGAATACTGACTGTCAGTTTGTCTTCTTGTGGTGGTTTCCATGTTCCTGTGATGCTGGAAGCTATGCCAAAGATATTTAAAATGGTGGAGAGGTTTCAGCTGAGCTTATAGCCTAAAACAGGGAGAAAAAGAGGTAGAGTACTTGTGCATATTTAACCACTGACAATTGTGTGAATAGCTATGGAACACTGTCAGATAACACCAGAATATTGAAATATGATGAAGAGCAAGCACCAGAATATCGTCAGATAATTGTGCTGGAAATGAGACCCTCGGGTTGGAAGGTACTAAAATACAACTGGGGAAGAGCTGTGTCTTTAAGGTAAAGTTGGCCATGATGATGCAAATGGAGTAAAGCTTTCAAGACTTTAATTTGCTGAAGGGGCACATCTCAAAATGAGGAGAAACAGCTGTAATAATTCATTAATAATAGGAACATGGAATATACAAAGTATGAAGTTAGGAAAACTTGAAATTGTAAAATGACACGCTTAAAGATTGACGTCAGAGGCATTAGTGAGCTGAAATGGACTGGTATTGGCCATTTTGAATCTGACAGTCATATGGTTTGTTGTGCCAGGAATGACAAACTGAAGAGGAATGGCGTTGCATTCATCATCAAAAAGAACATTTCAGGATCTATCTTGAAGTATAATTCTGTATGTGATAGAATAATATCCATAAACTTCAAGGTCAGCAGTTCGAAACTACCAGCTGTTCCATGGGAGAAAGATGAAGCTTTTTGCCCCCATAAAGATTTACAGCCTCGGAAACCCTGTACAGGGTTGCTGTGAGTTGGAACTGACTCCACAGCACATAACCA